TGCCCCATCCTATGGGGTTTTCCACTTTTAATACAACTTTTCTTGTGCACTACCTGTACTAATTGATGTGGACGTTTTAGGCTCTTTATTACAAACAGGGATTACAGAGACACAGGGTGCTTTGAGGAAGTTAGAAGATGCCTGTATTTAGCGGAAGCGGTGAGTTTGAGAGGATTCCGATAAGTCACAGCTCGACAAACTCTTCTCAAAGGGAGTGTTAGAGAAAACTGGAAGTCCATACAGTAGTGGCTTGTCTTGGATGATGGCACATGATAAGAATACTGACTCATGTCCACTAGAATGTGTCTATTCCTATTGGCTCCATTCACACTTCAGAAATGCTGCTGGCCATGGACTCATTGGTACGTTGGGTGACAACACGTTCAGTCATGAGGGTTTCGGGGGCATCAACGGACCTACAATGATGTGTAATTGTAGGTTCTCTTGTTGAGGACGCAGCGTTTCGTGGAGAAAACAAACATTCATCAGCCCCCAATGGATTGTGGCTCTTAGTCTCTTAGCATATGGGGGTGGAGGGTGGGACAAAGTCCATTCCAGAAGCAACTCTTGGGCTTCAGTGGACCTCCTATTTTCCAGCTGGGTGGACTTCAGGCATGGAGAGGTCAAGTGATTTAGTCAAGCGCCTGATGAAGTCGAGCAGCTGGGACGTGATTTCAGGGACTTTGCTGGTCTACAGCTCTTGCCCGAGTCAGTCAACAGCCCTGTTTCCTGGTTCTAGGCGCTTCTCTAGCTGCACCACACAGTCAGCGTGCTGCGTCCTGCGTGGCCGACCTCCCGGCTGTCTCTGCTCACGACTGGAATAGGAGGCGTGTTACAGGTCAAGTCTGAATGTTCTGGCAGCACAGCGTAAGGCAGATTGCTCCATGCCTGCTCAAAGCATACAGTGTCTGGCGAAAGCCAGATTGAAGATAGCTAAACTCACACGCCAAGATTCCAAAGGAAAAACTTAGCTCACATTTTTCCTCTGCACGGTGATTTTTCTTTCCCCTCCTTTTTTTTCTCTTCCTTTTTT